TAAGATTTCTTTAGCCTTCTGTATATGCTTTCAATTTAAGCAGAGAGTAAATAGCTAGAAACAAGCTATTTACTTATGTTTGCCTATTCAGATATATTTTAGATAGCTAGGTGGTCCTTAAACACTACAGAGGTCTGAAGAATATGACATTTAAGATGTTTTCGTAATAAAAGGCTTTTTTGACAGACACATGAGCTCCTGGTAGCATCCCCAGTCTACTTCAAAGAAGATGATCACAGAAGAATCTCCACAAGGAGTTTGCTTCATTTGTGGCAAAGATGGCCACTGGGCAAAAAACCTGACCCCTCACCTCAACAGCTGACAGCAGGTTGTCCAAACTGTAGACAAGCAGAACACTGGGAAGTCAACTGACCCACTTTGCTGAGACAAGGTAGGCCAGACCTTCAAAATTTCTGCTTCACAGAAAAGTCTGTCAGGTACTCCGAGCTTATTGGCCAAAGATTGGCTGCCTCTCTGTCATTTCTATAGTTTTGAAAGCCTTTGCTCTGCACTTCCTGTTTACTCAAGTAATATTTATCTTTCTTGGGTCTCTGATGGAATTGAAGATTAGATAGTTATAGTCTTACTGTTTTCCTTATTAAAGATTAAAGACATGAAACTTGAGTTGTTTAGGATTTAAGAAAATGTTTTAGAATCTAAAAATGTTTTTAGGTTGATAAATGGAAGTTAAGATAAGGAAGTGATTTAGGTACAGAACTTTGGACTCACCAAGATGAGGTAGATAGTATCGTACTTGGTCCAAAGTTTCCATATACAAATGAACAGGGCATTATAAATTTAATTCTTACCTGATAGTTTATAATTGTTCCTACTCTATATAGTTGATTGGTGTTAGAGAAAATGTCATTTATTGGACTAAAAGGGGGAAAGGTAGTGAGAATTTTGGTTCCTTTAAAAACTCAGTTATGTTATATTTCTGTTTTAATCCCAGGTGTGCGATGTGGGGCTACTTCAGATTGTCCACAGCATCTATGATTTGTCTTATGCTCTAGGAGGGGCATGATTTTTTGCTAGCTACAAACAGTTTATCTGTGGAATTCTGGGGACTCTTGAGAGGGTATGAATAGGAGAGCCCCAAGTTGGCCCATGGCAGCTGCTGCTCCCCCTGCTACTTGTCCCTGTTGCTGCTGGTTCCTGCTGTTGCATTTGCTGTTTTGCTGCATTGCTGGTTTGCTGACTGCTGCTTTGAAGAATTGCTGATTGGAGATATTCTGATGGTGAAGATTGGACTTGCACCTAGGAAGGCAATGCTTCTAATCAGCAGAAAGTAGTCTAAAGAGATCTACAGTCCCTGGCCCTATAACCTTCTTCTTTCTTACCTACCTAGTGTTGAAGGGTTGGAAAGGATTCGGCTACAGAAGAGTAGTAGATATAAGAACCCAATAAAGTAGCCAAGAAGTATGGTTACAGTAATCGATGAAGGAAGGTCCAGCCCATTGTGGGTGGTGCCATCCCAGAGCTGGTGGTGCTGGGTTTTATAAGAAGCTAAGAAAATCACAGGGAGCAAGCCAGTAAGCAGTACTCCTCCTTGGCCTTTGGATCACCTCTTGCCTCCAGGCTGATGAACAGTGATATGGAAGTGAAAGCCAAATAACCCCTTTCAGCCCAACTTGCTTTTTGATTGTTTATCACAGCAATAGAAACCTTAAGACAGGTGGTCACAGGTTCAAGTTGGATGAGGTCCCAGCAATGAGAGGAGGAAGTGGACAGAAGCTCCTATCCTTGACCAGGAACTATCCTTCCACTTGACACCCACTTGCAAAGGAAAATTCCTTTCTCCAACGCAGTCCCCCTTGGTATACAAACCATGCTGAAGGGCAAGCCTCTGACCAGCAGTAGGATGACCGAGGCAAAACAAGCTCAATAGTATTTCTGGAGGTTTCCTTTTCCTAATTCTTCCTCCTCCTCCTCCTCCTCCTCCTCCTCCTCCTCTTCCTTTTATTTTTATTTTTCTGTTTTTGGTCTCATGTCACTGTTTGAGATTTTTGTTGTTTTTTAAACCTCACTGGTCTTTTTTAAACCTCACTGGTCTTTTGCTTATACATTATGGTTCCCAATTTTGTATTCTTATGGGTCTTGTTCTTGTGTTTCTGTGTGTTTTTTCTTTTTTGCCTGTTTGCTTTCTAAAAGGAAGAAGATCCGTGTAGTTGGAAGTGGAGAAGATCTGGGAGGATATGAGGGAAACCATGATCAGGATATATTGTATGAAAAAATATTTTTAATTGAAGAATACAGGATTTCATAACAAAAAAGGTTGTAGCCAGGCACATGCCTGTAATCCCAGCTCCTCAGGAGGCTCAAATGGGGGAACTGCAAAGTTGGCCAATTTAACAAAACTATGTCTCACAATAAAAAAGGCTGGAGTTATAATGATAGCATACTTTCTGGTACCACCCAGTCACTCAGATTTTTTATTCCTGTGGACCAGACTGGCCTGAAACTAAGAGATCCACCTGCCTCTGACTCTCATACCTTGGGATTAAAAGTATGTGCCACCAAGTTTAGTCAGATTTTCTTAAATTGTTACAATTTTGGATACAATTTTACTGACTGGAAACTAGTTCCTGAAAGGCCAGTAGCACTGTATGTCCAGTAGATGTCAGAAGCAACCAAAGCACTAGGTAAGTCTCATACCCAACTGCAAATACAGATAGTTAGCTAGCCGAGTGTGAAAAGCAACTCTTTGAATACATTAGTATTTCAATATAAAAATCAGAACTGTACTGATACATCATATGCCAGTACTCAAATACATTTTAACTACTTAGAAGCATTTGTTGTTGTTGTTATTATTATTATTTTGGTATTGGAGATCAAACCCAGGGCAAAGGGCAAAAGTACTCTTCCACTGGTACATAATCTCAGTCCAAGATTACAAACTCATAGAAGTGAGGACTCACTCTCTGGAACCACAACCCCCCCAATCAAATGCTCTTATAGAAGTGAGGTTTCACTCTCTGGAACAATGAGCCTCCCAATTAAGTGCTTTTTTTCTGTTAACACTGCCTCAGCCATGGTATCTGTCACAGTGATAGAAAAGTAACTAAGACAGTCACTCAACTTGCATTTACTGTGTACCCTACACGTCAAGTACTGCATAAAGAACGTACAACTTGTGTTTACTGTGTACAAGTACTACATAGTTAAAGAATGTATAGGGTAACAAGAACTGCACTGCCACGCCTGCTTAGGCAGCTTGGGCCTGAAGTCCTAGCTATGCAAGACCACTTGAGTTTGGGTCTGAGGTTCATTCTCTGCTGCTCCTGGGTTCAAGAGCTGGGATGCCAGGCGGTGTTGGCGCACGTCTTTAATCCCAGCACTTGGGAGGCAGAGGCAGGTGGATTTCTGAGTTCGAGGACAGCTTGGTCTACAGAGTGAGTTCCAGGACAGCCAGGGCTACACAGAGAAACCCTGTCTCGAAAAAAAACAAAAACAAGAGCTGGGAAAATGAAAATGACTATAAACCTGACAGAGTATTTATACACACACACACACACACACTCTCTCTCTCTCTCTCTCTCTTCTGGTTCTTTCTCATTTCTTACACCATCACCCTTACTCAATTGTGCTTCTCCCAAATACTTCAATGGATTTTTTAAGTTTTATTTTGTGGTTGTGTTTTATGTGTGGGTGCAATTATGCATGCACTGGAGGACAACTAACAAAAGTTGGTTTGTTCTTTCCACTGTATGCATACAGGGCTGGAACTCAGGTCCTCCAGGGTGGTAGCACGCACCCTTACCTACCAAAACCCCTGCTGGCCCTCCAACTGTCTGTATTATGAAAAGGACAGCTGCACTAAGTATATGAGTCCAACAGAACTCTGGCTTTGTCTAGGACACTTCAATTCTACCAAAGACAAAGAACACCCTGATGTCTCTTGAAAACACCTTGAAAAGCAAGGAACAAAGCCTCATCTTAAAGACAGCCATCTCCGCTGTATGTGATGGAGAAGGACCCAAAGCTCAAGTGTCAGAAAATGATGCTGGTAAACTAGTTTACTTTTTTAACCAAGACACTTGAGGTCTAGAACAAGAACGGACATGTCCAGTAAGTGATACTGATGATGCATGTATTTCTGAAATGTTACACGTCACCAATATTTAATGTGGTCCTGAGGAGGAATAGAACTTGAAAGGGAACACTAAGGAACTCAGCAAACAAGGAGGGTGTACAATCAGGAAATGGTGGCGCATGCCTTTAATCCCAGCACTTGGGAGGCAGAGGCAGGAGGATTTCTGAGTTTGAGGCCAGCCTGGTCTAAAGAGTGAGCTCCAGGACAGCCAGGGGTACACAGAGAAACCCTGTCTCGAAAAACCAAAAAACAAACAAACAAACAAACAAACAAAAGATTGCAGCTCTTACTAGTTTTGTATGGCATAACTGGGTTTTCATGATAGTTGGTTTTCTCTGAGACGGAGTTTCTCCATGTAGCCCTGGCTATCTCAGAACTCTGTAGACCAGGCTGGTCTCAAACTCAAAAGATCCTCCCTGCCTCTGCCTCCCAAGTGCTGGGAGTGCACCCCTACTGCCTGACCATACTATTTTTTTCCCCTGTTTTTGTGACAGAGTCTTACTTTATACCTCAGTCTGACCAACTCAGAATCCTCCTATGACATCCTTCTATCAGGAGCGTCATGTCTGGCTCACTGTCACGTACAGAGAACTGGCAATAACATGTAAACATTGGAGCTGGGAAGGCTCAGTCAGTAAAGCACACACTGCACAACCATGAGGAGAGAAGTTTGGACTCTCAGCATCCACATAAAAAGCCAGGCATGGTGGCACCCACTGTAATTATAGCTATATCATAGCTGTCCAAACTTCCAAACCTCAAGAGAGCCTTATTCACTGAAAGCTTTTGTGACTGTGTAAGGTAAGCTAGGGCAAAACAGGCAGACTTCCCCTGCCTTCTGCCCCCAATACAACCTGCCCTCTCAGAACAAACAAACAAACAAACAAACAAACAATGCAAACACTGAGACTAAGCAGGCAAGTTTTATTATCAATGTAACAATTCTACAAAAAGATGCAGTAGTACTCTGGTAAGCATGTCTGCCATCTTAGTCCTTCAGAGCTTAGGGTAGGAGTGGCTTAAGGCATCAAGGAGAAACTTTTTTCTTGTTTATCTCAAGTGCCAGATCTCACCAATTTTCACACCAAATCCTTTTCTTCTTTCTTCCCACTGCAGTAGAAGGGCTATTGTTGGACAAGTTAGAGGGTAACGCTTGACTCTGCAGTCAAGGTGATGATACAAACTAAAAAGAACAGCCACAACCTAGGCATTGCATCCAAGCAAAGAACAAGAGTAACAAAGAAACGTGTGCGTTTAATCAAATCACTTTCCCCTTGCGTTATCCGGCAACTAACTGTATTAGCTAGTGCCAAATACTGCACTCTGGCACACATACACAGCTACCCAAGCTGTGCTAAACACTGAGCGCAGCTGCTGCTCTAACTGTATCAGTGTTTACCTCAGGCAAGCATGCCTACACTTTTAAAGGGTTTAATTACGTGACAGTTGAGGCATTAGAGAAAAAAGGGCTATCAATATATACAAGCATTTACTTTGGTTAGTATATTGCTTTCTGGAATACACTGTTCAAATAGACTTACTTTTGTGACATTAAAAACTATGGAATTTCTCTTATTAAAGTCCAAACCATTAACAATGAAAAAAAGTACAATATAAAATAATACATATGAAGCTGAAAACACTCAGTTACAGCTCAAACTAGAAACTACTAACTACATGTAGCTGCTTCATTTTTGGTTTCAAATTTTGGCCCCTACTCCATTCTTATTTACAGCTGGTACCTGCTGAGAAAAACACTCAAACCCTTTACAAACAAGTCGCGAACATGTGTGTGTGTCAAGGGGAATCCTCAGGTGCACGTGTGGAGAGGACACAAGGGAGGCAGGTCTACAACCCAGGGCTCAAGTATGCTAGGCAAGTTACCGAGCCACAGGCCCAGCCTGCCTGAAGTGTTTTAAAAATATTTAACTATAAGGCACCATGATGGCCTACTGAAGAAAACTAATATTTGGGAAAATATTAGTTTTATTTTATTCCTTTTCTTAGTTTGGGATTTAAGTATTCTAAGAACGTACACTTAAATTACTTAGCAAGAGGGTTTTATTTTACAGGAAACAGAGGAGTGCGAATACACAATGAAGCTTCCAGAGCAATTAATGGTGGATGGTAGACGCTAGTGGAATGTATTTTACTCCAAGACTTCAACTTAGGAAATAGATGATGTCATGTTAGCTGGAAGTGAGACGACTTCATTCACATTTAAATTTCTATTTGCACTCAGCCAGGAGCCAGGTACATCCACACTGCTTACTATAAAGATTTGGCTTTGCTGGCTCCATATTTTTTCACTCCATCAAAAGATAAGGCCCAGGCCTACTGTCCAATCATGTGCTGGCTGAGATACTGCAGCATGAGTGTAGACAAACATCCCCTGAAATTGCTAGAAGTTCTCTTGTCTGATAGTTTCAGGATCACCATACGTCTTTTAAACACTGGAGGGAGGGAAAAAGACAGTATTACAACCTCTAAGTTTAATTTTTCAAAGTCTTAGGAGCTTAACATCTTTCAGACAGCCCTAGTTTCTATCGCACAGTGAATACTTTCCTGTAACGTCTATCCCTTTGAATTACTGACTGCATTAAATTCACAATTCTGCACCTGCCTAACTCAATTCAGTTCCAGTTTCACCCACTTTTCCATGCGGGTCTGTGTTGTAGGATTTTTCTAGCACTAGACACTCAACTCAACATTACAGGCTTTACAGAGCTGGAGTGATTGTCACAGTGGCATAAATCTTAAATCCTAGCCCTGGGAAGGCAAAGCAGAATTTCTGTGAGCTCCAGGACAGTCAGGACCACATAGTGACCTTGTCTCAAAAAACAAAACAAAACAAAAACAAACAAACAAACAAACAAAAAACGCACCCAAAACCAAAGTCAACAAAAACAGGTCTGGAAAAAATGGCTCAGTGGCAAGGAATGCTTGCTGGTCTTCCAGAGAACTGGTTTGGTCCTCAGCACTCACAGTAGGCAGTTCACAGCTGCCTGTCTCTGTTGGCCTCTGTGGGCACCCAGATATTCAATGTAAACACACACACACACACAATTATAATAAAAATCTTTAGTTCTACTATGAATTTCAAATAATTTCTAACAAAAAAGTTAAAATCAGTAAGCATCACCAAGGCCTGACCAATGGCAGACACAAACCCTATGCCACTGACTGTTCTAACACACTCTGTAGGTCTCAACCCATCTGGCAAATCTCTAATTCCAAAAAATATTTACAATTCATAACAGCAGCAAAATTAGTTATGAAGGAGCATCAAAATAATTTTTTTGTGTGTGGGGGTGTCTAACACAAGGAACTGTACGAAAGGGTCCCAGCCTTAGGAAGGGTAAGAACCACCGTTGTGGGGTACTGTGCTATACCCACTAGGTTGGTTGATTTTGGTACTAAGGAGCAAATCCAGGTCTTCACACATGCTAGGTAAGTGCTACTGAGCACACTCCCTGTCCCTGTGGCCACTTTGAAGATGGGGAAAGTGAAGCAGAGAGTGGTTATGTTGGCAGAGCAAGCCCTCCACCCATACTTACGGATCCGGAATTATAAACTCAAACAGCTCAGGATGAACATTTAGAAGGGAAAAGCATTCATCCCCATCATGTGCAAACTCTTTTCTGGTCATTATCCACTCCATCCCACTCCTTTTTCCGTTTTTTGTTGTTGTTGTTTTTCCCCCAAGACAAGGTTTCCCTGTGTAATAACCCTGGCTGTCCTGGAACTCGCTCTGTAAACCAAGCTGGCCTCAGACTCAGAGCTCCAACTGCCTCTGCCTCCCGAGTGCTGGGATTAAAGGTATGGGCAACAATGCCTGGATTCCCTTCTTCTTTTAAAACAATTTCTTTTATTATTAGTTTTGTGCACTCATGTATGCTGTGTGGGAATGTGTGTGTCTGAGGAGGCAGAGAACCTCCTGGACTTTTTTGAAGTTACAGGTGGTGGTGAGCCTGACATGTGTACTCAGAACCAAAGTCAGCTTGTCAGCAAGAGCATATGTACTCCTGGAAACAATGAGCCACGTCTCCAGTGCATCTGATTACTGTTCTCCAAGCAAGCAACCAGTGGGAACAGCAACAACCAGGCCAGGTGTGGGAGTACAAGTCGTAAAGCCAGAACTCAGGAAGCTGAGGCAGGGGACTGCCCCAAGTCAAGGCCAGTATAAGTACCACAATAGCCAGGAGACACAGAACAGTGTGTGTAAATATTCACTACACATTTTATTAGTAGTCATCCAGAAATAATGTAGTGTATACAGGAGGATAAACGTGGGCTATAAGCAGAGCTATAAGCAAATGCTGTGTGGCTTTATGAAGGCCTGGACCATCTCTCTGTACATTTTTGGTACACAAGGTCTCAGATCCTGAGGTCTGATTTGCATGGACAGACCTGGGGTAAAATCTTTACATATACAGCTTCCCCCCTATGCTGTTTTATTTACATGGTAGGTATATAGAACAAAACCAAAAATACTCAAAAGTTAAAATAAAAACTGTTGGCATTGTGCACTTTGCATGTAAATGAGAAACAGATAAAAGTTAGAAATGGAAATGGTTCTTATCTCATTTTGTGTGGCCACTTTGAAAAAGTGTCAAGACTAAGTAACAAATGACAATTGATACAAATTTAAAATCAAGTATTCAAAAAAGAACCTGAACACTAGTTTGTTAGCATTCATGTTTAAAATGTGGTTTAAATGAGGCAACTGAGTGAGCACTAAAACACTAAGCATGGAAAAGCTTCTTTGAACACACAAAAAAAAAATACGGACAATAAAATCTGTCAATTATTCACCACAGTTACCCAGTTCTCTCCTTCTTTAGCCAACAACACCCTAGTTCTCCTTAAAGAACTTCTCCTCTCCCAGTGCTAATACCATGGAGAGGCCATTTTACCACCAGCTAATCGAACAACTCAGACAGCCAATGAATGTCCTGCATAATCCTGCAGGCTGAGAGATGGCCATTAGCCACACCAGTGAAACCCAATTCCTGGTTTGCTTCTGACTCTTTTGAAAGTTGCTGATGGGCATGGCATGATGGGAGGTCGGTCAGTTCCATCTTCCTATTCCCAGCTTGTTCGAGTATACTAAAAATCACCTTGCAGGCACCTGGAAGTATTACTAAATGTTCAGTTAAGTGCTTAGCTCTCTCAGACCTGCTTCTCAACCTCAGTGATGTTAGTGTGTTAGTGGCATTTCAGTATTTAATGAGGAAGCTGCAGAATCTTTATGGCTAGCAGGAAAAAGAGAATCTGAGAAGGATAAAAAAAAAAGTTTCCTTTTCTTCTTAGCAACAAAAGCGAAGAGTATGATCCAAAGATAATTTTTAAAGTTTTAAATACAAACATTCATAATTTGTTTTTCCTTTCTGGTAAATGTTAAAACAGTGTTTTATTTTGTCATACACTATCATTAAAGTATTATGTACACAGAAGAATTTTTTTCCTCTTCTTTTTTAGAAACAAGGCAGGCCTTAGGCTGTAGACCAACCTGAGGCTGCCTGGAACTCACTAAAGAGCCAGGTGAGCTTTGAACTTCTTCCAAGATCTGAGATTATAGGCGTGAATCACCATGCCCACTTGTTACTTTGAGTTTTGTTTAGTTTTTGAGATAGCGTTCTTTTTGTGTAGTCTTGGCTGGTCTGGAACTCACGGAAATCCTCCTGCCTCTGCCTTGTAAATATCAGAATTGTGAACGTGTGCCAACACACAGAGCTTACACAGGGATAACTAAAGATAACTGGATTCCACTAGGTATGAAACATTAGCCTGGGTTATATAGCAAGACCTGGTCCCAATAAAACAAAAAACAGAAGCCAAAAATTCTGATGAGTTGTGTTTAAATACTCTGGAACATAAGGTGGACTGGAACTCTAGTTGCCCATGCCCACCTTAGAGTTTTCTGCAGTGCCTCTTTCTTTCAATCTCTCAAGCACTGGGATTACAGAGGCATCACAAAGAATGAGCTCTTCTGGCCCCGGTGGGGCACTGAGCTTGAGTGCAGAACAGACATACATGTAGGTAAAATACTCATTCACATAAGATAAAGTAGTGCATATGTAACGGACTCTATGAAAGGAACAGAAAACACACTTCTGAATGTACATTCCTATTGTCTGGAGATGGCAGCACAATGACAAAGGGCAAAAGCAGAGCGCAAGGAGCTTAAGATCCAAGGTGGACGAGAGGCCAAGAAGCCAAGGGCGGCATTCAAGACTCCAAAATCTTAAATGGATGGAGGCACATTAAAGGGGCACGCTAAGCAGAACGAGCTCCTCACACCACAGAGGGCAACACTGGACTATCCCCCAGTAGCAAATAAATGTGCAAGAACCGATACTGGGAATGAAGTATGGCTGGACACCATGGGAAGCAATTCCCAGTAACACACTAGGAAACCTTTTCCTGGAATGCATGCAGGAGAGGGAAACAATAATGGCCTCTCAGGTATCAGTGAGCTAAAATGATGTGCTGTTATCACTGGGACCTGGACAGGGCAGAGCTCATTCCCACTTAGAGCAGCATAGTGGTCCTTAAGAGGCCCCAGTCTTCACTTGCACCCTGAAACTATCCTCAGAATGAGGAGCCATACATGGATTCCCATTTCTCAGAAATGATGGAACACTGGCCCTTACATGGCCAGTTTAGATTCCATATGGTTCAAGCTCACAACTATGAAAATAATAACTAAATTGGAAAATGAAAAGTCTAGAAATCCAATAACCAAACTGAAGAAATAAGCCCCACTAATCCCTAAATGTGGCCCGGGAAACTCCATGGGCAACACAGAGTGCCAGTATCCCAGGAAAGCCTGTAGGTTAATAGGGGAAGATCCCTTTTGACAACAGCCACTAACTCTATCGATATTTTTCCCTCTAGCTTTAGATTTAAAAAAGACATACAATGAAAGCTTTTCAATAACTTCGAACAAAGACATGTTTTTTTTTTAAAAAAAAAAAAACATGAGGTCTTATACAATGTTGTCCAGACTAGTCACAAACCCCAGCCTAGGCTCAAGTGATTTTCCTGGTAGGAAATAGCAGGTATGTGTAACTGTATCTGACTGAGCTGAATGCTAAACAATAAAAAATTTAAAAAAATAAAAAAGTAAAATTTTCTAGAATGGTGATGTTTTCTTTTCTGTAACATTTATTTTGTGTGTAGTACACATGTGGAGGTCAGGTCTCAATTTGTACTATGTGGGACTCAAGGATCAACCTCAGGTTATACAGTTAAACAGCAAGTGAGTCACGCTGTTGGCCATCTTAAATTAAAGAGGAGGGAGGGGAAGAAGAGGAGTGAGGAGGAAGAGGGGGAAAAGAAGAGGAGGGGGAGGGAGGAAGAAGTAGAACAATAACAAGAAAAGCACTCAACCTATCCCACAACTGAGCAGTAAACCGATGTCCAAGACATTTATTCCACGGTACTCACAGCAGTACACTCTCATCCACACACATTACACTGATAGTGTGTTCCTGGATTACAAACTTCATTCTCATCTAAGTCTTCTGACACATCACAGTGAGGCAAGGGGAAGGAAGCCGCTTCACCTGCCTCCTAGAGAAACGTCAGACTCTTGGCTTCTCTATTTGGGCCTCTGATTTAGCTGTCATGATAGGTCCTTACCTTCTTCTCTGAGGACGATCTAACTCTGGGGCCCTTAAATACAAACCCATTCTTTGGGTAGAGTCCTGGCCTGGTCATTTGTGTGTGCAAGTCCATCCTCGGTTGCATACTAAAATGCAAGTTGAAACAAACAGGATCAAAAGTTGGGCAGCCTGCCACTGCGGATGTTATTTTAAACTAAATATATCAACAAAAGTATATGACATTTAGAACCTGGGCAATGACACTGTTAGAAGCCACACATTAATTCCTTCTCAATGCTTCATTTATTTATCAAGAGCCCTTTTAGGAGAGAACTTACACTGAATATGTTTTTAAAACTGATACAAACCCATCAGACTACAATTAAGAAGATCAAATCTGATCTATTTTTTTAAGCATATATGTATGTATATGTATGTTTGTTTGCGTGTACATCTGCAGACCAGAAGAGGCCATCAGATCCCACAGGCTGATTTTAAGCTGCTGGGAATTGAACTCAGGACCCCTGGAAGAGGAGCCAGTGCTTTTATCTGCTGAGCCATCTCTCCAGCCCAGAACCTGATCTCTCAATAGTAAATATTAGGTATGACAGGATGTTACTTATTTGTGCATCAATTACTTTGTCAGGCATTATATGTTAAACCCCTAAAACCAATGAATTTTAAATAGTTTTAGATCTGAAATAGACTGCTGAAATAAATTTGCTCACTTGAATACTAAATAAAATTTTTTATATGAGTCATCAAAAGACACGAAGTCAGAATGTTGAGGAGGAAGCCCAAGGCCATGAAAAACAGAGGCTAATGGAAAGAGCAGACAGACAGTGTTGAAGGTACATAAGGACTCTCAAGAGCCATCAGGATAAGCAACCATCCAAAACAGAGTGCCTGCACTTTATCGACCAAACAATCCTCTCACTGCCAAATGCTTTCAAAGTGTTTCACCTTCAGAACTCCTGCTCCCCTCTCCCTCTCCCACAGCACACGTTCCTTTCCCTCTATTCCTCCAACTCTGACAGGGGGTTCTCCATAAGATAGGCCTAGGATGATCCCAAGCTTATGGTAACTCCTGCCTCTATTTTCAAGTGTTGAGATTATGACCATGTTGGTTTTATGGACTGCTGGGGCTGAAACTCGGGGCTTCACGCTTGTTAGGCAAGCACTGCATCTGCAGAGCTGTGTGTCCATTCTGTTTGTTTCTTTGCGTTTTGTTTTTCTTGTGATATACCCTAGGCTAGCTTCAAACTTCCTACCTGAGCCCCGGGATAACAACGTGTGCCACTATAGCCATCCACAACAGGTTTGATAGGAGAACCTTATGCCCTGCATCTTACTTTGCCCATCAGATTTCTCCCTGATTAAAAAAATCCTTTCTCTTTCTAAGCTTGGTTTCCCTCGTTCCTATAAGTTGGAAATTCACAAAGCTGCAAGAGTTTTGAGAGAAATGTTGCTGAAGTAAATGGGGGAAGTATATCTAAGTTCTTTAAAGATTATGCATATCTCTCTCTCTCCCTCTCTTCCTCCTCCCCCCTTTCCTTCCTGTTTTTATCAAAGCAGGGTCTCACTATGTAGGTCTGGCTATCATGTAAAGTCACTCTGTAGACCAGACTGACCTGAAATCAGAGATCTGTCTGCCTCTGCCTCCACCCCCAAGTGCTAGGATTAAAGGTGTGCACCACCAGACCCAACTAAGAGGATGTGTTTCTAAAATGACATTAACTATTATAACAGCCAAGTTTTATATTTATTTAAAAGATAAAATCGGACATCACTGGTAAATTTCATTTATACAACAAAGATTTAAGTATATCAATGTAAACATAATAAAATTAATCAGAAAGGACCAGAGGTTAAATTAATACAAGTTGTTAAGATGTAGTTGGGCAGTGGTGGTGCACGATTTTATCTCAGTATTTGGGAGGGAGAAGGAGGTGGATCTTTGTGAATTCCAGGCCAACCTGGCCTACATAGTGAGTTCCAGGCCAGCCAGGCCTACAGACTTAAATCTGGACAGAAAGAGAGGTAGGAGGAGATAAACAGATTGTACTCAAGGGAACAATTTTAAGAAGTCATCTGCAGATTTTACCATCTGTGGCAAAGCCAAACAAAAGGAAATCGACCCCATTGTGACATATGTTCCTTGAACAGCTGGAGGGTAAACAACAAATAAGGGGGCATGCAGTTTTTAAAAGACAGTAGGAAAACCTAAGTTTTATGTAAGAAAGAAAAATTTGGGTTAGATACAGATTTGAATGCATGCCTCACAGTTTGAAATACTGAAGCACATACTGGAACTGCAGGTTTGGATGACTGAGGTCTTAATACAATCCTGATTCACTGATTCACTTTATAAATTCTAAATGCTTACCACGAGCATGGTGCACTTGGGAAGCAGAGCCAGGAGGGTGATGGCAATCGGAAGGCTAGCCTGATCTATATAGTGCTACTGAGGTCAGCCGATGAACTATGTAAGAATGTCTCAAACTAATGCAATAAATAAAAAATAAATTCATATATCAAGAGAAGAAATGACATACCAGCACTGTGCTGCTGATTATGACAAATAACTCTAACCAAGAATGACTCTAGGAGCTACTCAAGGGTTATTTGGTATAAATTTTATCATTTTATCCCATTTTTGAAGCATGTCAGACTTAAATTTTTAAACCTTTCCCACTTTTTATTACATTTATTTATTTTGTATGTGTATGTGCATATGTGCATGTGTATATGTGTGTATGTGCACGTGTGTGCTGCAGCACACATCTGGAGGTCAGAGGACAACCTTCGGGAGTTGGTTCTCTCTCACTACACTGGCTCAGGTAGTCAGGCTGTAAGCACCATTACTCTCTAGTCATCGGTCGGTCCTGTGTCAGACGTTTCATCATAAATCAGAATGAGCCTGACTACGTGTCTGAGGGGAAAGAAGTACCCACAATTGCCAACCATGGTACTTCCTCCGTAAGGTTAATTGTGGTTAATCTCATTATACATGTGTAAGACTGCTTCACTTTATTTAGTGTGAAAGTAAATGAAAATGGTGGAATCAAGCTAAACCATTAAGCCCAGCTGATCATTAAACTTGAAAACTACTCAGAGTTTCTACCATGGGAAAATACAAAAGTCCAAGTATTTCTTCTGGAAGATTGAGTAATCTTTCCAATCCAATTCTAGTAAAACTGTATAGTTTAATCAGAGAAAAAGGAGGTCTATACGGTAACCTTTTAACATTTTTCAAGTCCTCCAGCAGCTGTGTAATCATCTAGAGAAGAGTAATGAGCTACTGACCCAAGAGAACTGACTACCAGCCTCCGAAGAACACTGTAAGCCAAGAAGAAAGAAAAAGTGACCTCAGTTCTGGACTTTATCAGTCCAACTTCCTCCTAACTAATGGAAAATATTTCTTGCATGTTAAAAACCCTTAAGACAACAATGGTTAGGGTAGTGGTCAGGGATCTAATCAGTTTTACCTAAGATCACACTATCCCTGAATCATGGACATGGAACGGCCTCTGTAGACGCGGCTCACCCACACTGTGCTGCTCATGCTCAGAGGCATCACTGGATTTTGCTATTCTGAAGACTCAAGCTAATTTCAGCTCTAGGAGGAAGGAGGACTGATTTTGCTCATAGACCAGTAAGTCTACAAGTTACTTGTTTTTAGACTTTATAGGAAGAAGAAACTTGACTTTAAGTAATCAAATGACTTTAAGAATGAATAGGGTTTGCTCAGATGAACCAGAAAGAAACAAGATAATATTCACTGTTACAAACCCATCACCAAGAAAAGCCTATTCTTAAAGTCAGAAGGCAGTGATGGACACAGGCAACAGCCAAAACAAAACAAGATAAAAGCAAAGGCAGAAAAATCAGGTCACTTCATGAGGCCAAGCACCCACTCCAGTTCAAGAATCAAAACAAGCCTGTTAGTTGGGGTGTCTTATTTTTATCTCCAAGGTTAAAGTAGATTTTTCATTTTTATTTTTCCCCAGTGCAATTAAAAGAGGCTTTCTGATTTTTAAACGCTCAACTGGACACTCCATGCTTAAATGTTTCTATTTATTTATTTACTCTATCTGCAGTATTGGAAATTGGGAACACTAATCGATATCCTTACCACTCCTTTATTTAAAAAAATTAAAATTACCTTCATTTATTTGTGTGTGTGTGTGTGTGTGTGTGTGTGTGTGTGTGTGTGTGTGTGTTGGGGAGTGGGGTGCATATGCCATGTGTGAAGTCAGAGGACAACCTTCATGAGTGAGTTCTCTTTCCATCATGTGACTCTTCCCGAGATCAAATTCAGCTCACAGATCTGGGGTAAATGCCTTTTCCCCCTTCCCTGTTTCTTAAGACAGGGTTTCTCTGTGAGGCCCTGGCCACCCAGGAACTAGCTCTGTAGATCAGGCTGGCCTTGAACTCAAGAGATACACAGACCCCTGCCTCCCTTGTGCTGGAATTGGAGGAATGCACCACCGCCTGTCTGGAAAATAAAATTAAGGTGGGTGTGTGGTGCTTGTCTTTAATCCCAGGACTTTGGCGGCAAGGGCAGGCAGGTCTCTGAATTTGAGCTTTCTCTATATAGTGAGTTCCAGGACAGTCAAAGCTACTTAGTACATCTAAAAAAAAACAAAAACAAATTTATTTTATATGTATGAATACTTTGCCTGCATGCACGTATATATGTGAACATATGCATGTTTGATGCCCCTTGAAACCAGAAGAGGGCACTGAGTCTCTGGAGCTGGAGTTACTGATGGTTGAGAGCTGGCCATGTGGGTTCTGCGAACGGCACCAGTGCCCTCTACAAGAGCAGGAGCACTGTTATCATTAGCAGGAGAGCCACCTCGAGCACCACCATTTTACTTTATCTACTTTTTTCTTTTTTGAGATAGTGTTCCACTTTGTGGCCTAGGCTGCCTTTGAACTCACAGGTCTGCATGCCTTTTCCTATATAACTAAAGGCATTCACCACTATGCCCAAGTTATTTTATAAGTGAAAGAATTAACAGACGATTTCAAGGGAAGCACATCCTTAGCCAATACTGTTCTTCATGAAAGCCCCTGTCCTGCTGCCTGCCCTGATGAACTCTTCCAAAGCGCCAAGCTTTAGAAAGGCACTAACAGATACAGGGAATGAGAATATGTAGCAGGAATTAGGACACCATAGGAAAGCCCTAACCATGTCAATAGGATGAACCTGGAGGTAGGTCCATCAGCACAGACAAATGTGCTGAGTTTCAGAGAACCAGTGTCTTTCCTAGCTGCATTCCTTTGGCAAACGGACTTTAGTAGTAAAGGGCACTGAGGATTTTTCTTCTTTAAGCTACTGACCTGGTAACCTTGGAAGAAGTTAAGAATTTCCTTAACTCCAGTATTGTAGGCCAGGCCCTGCATTCTGACCACCGTGCCAGGCTGGGGCGGGACACTGCTAAGATTAGCAGCTGTAGGGAAGTAGCCAAGACTATTAGGCGAACCTGGGGGGCTAAAGGGAGAGAAAGCACAATGAACCAACAGGAACACACAATGTTGAATATTTACTCTAAAACATATCACTTAAGAAACTGACTTTCTGAAAGTGATGTTTCTTACGCTTCACTGAGCTACCTTTCTTAAGACAGAGGAATGCCAGAGGTTTTGTCTCACGTTCCCCAGAAGCCAAAGGAGAAGTAATGGGCTAATGCCATGCTGTTAGATGCTAGACTTTCCCCATCTCTAAGGTTCTTCAAAGGGAGAGGAAGGAAGACTTTTCAAGTCATTCAGCCACTTCCAAAGCCCAGATCACTGATGGTTAGCGAGCCAGTTTTCAGGAATATTAAGGCATGAAGAAGAGGAATGGCTATAAAGGACTAATAGAAATCACAGCCAGAGAGCAAAAGTGTCCACAATGAACGTGCCCAAGAACCAAAGGCTCTATCCACATGTGCAGAGGGATAATGAGGCCCCAGGACAATACAGCAGAGCACACAGGGCAACTTCTGCCAACAGAAGAGGGAAAGAGAAGGGTAACAGCTGAACACATCACCATTACCATAGAGAACCGAAGAGCTCCAGGTGTTACTGTAGCAATTTCCTCCAAGAAGCACAAGACCCACGGTGGCCTAACTTGTGTGGTACCTCTAAGCAACCTCCACATTAGTCTCATTAATTAGCTTACCAATCAGATTTACAGGATTCCCCACCCAACCAGCTCTTCAAAGCAGTCAAATCAAAATAATTTGCAATATGCACAGAACATTTTTTAACCCAGTCAAGAAGAAATACTGATTCCAACTTTAGATTATGAACGTCCTTCAAGCCAACACCTCTCTCTTCACTTTAACAGAGGTGAGAGAGACCTTAAAGTTAATTTCCTTCTGAAAAATCATACCAGTTAGCACTTTGTCAAACTAGAAAAACCACACCAATTTCTCCTTTGTTTTGTTACACAGGGTTTCTCTGCGTAGTTCCAGCTGACCTCACACTTACTCTGTAGACCAGACTGACCTCAAATTCAGAGATCCACCTGTCTCTGCCTCCCAATCACCGGGATTTAGGGCGGGCGCTGCCACCACCTGGCATTTTTTTGTTTGTTTTAAGATTTTATTCACCTGAGTGTTTTGCCAACATGTATGTCTGTGTACTACATGCATGCCTGGTGCCTGAAGTAGCAAATCTCCATGTGGGTGCTAGGAATCAAACCTTGGTCTTTCAAATAAGTGCTCTTAACCATTAAGCCAACTCCACTCTGATTTCTCAAGTTTCATGATTTCTTCATATTTAAATTAGTATTCATTATCTGTACATATAAAATATCTGATATGAATCTAATATGCAAAGACCATGAACGTCTTGTCCTTTCCCCTACATACTTATTTCCATATACCTTTCTTTCACATTTCACTGCTTTTGTCTAATGGTCCTCTATAAATTAAGTGTGGAGTCTTTGTTACCTTTAAACTATATTTAAAAAAAAAAGGCAGATAAGAAGCCAGTGTGGCAGCTTAGTGGGGAGAAACACTTACTGTTGAGTCTGAGACCCAAGCTTGATGGCTGGAACCCACACGGAGGGAAAGAACTGTCTGTTCACTGATCTCTACTTTTGAGAAATGGAACATACATATCCAGACCCAGGTCAACATCCAATGAATGCAGATGTAATAAAAAATTACCTACAGTAGGGCTTCTTAAACTATAAACCAAGTAGTCAGAACAAGAGCTGGTGAGATGGAGCCGTGGATAGGTATATTGCTGCATAAACCTGGTGACAGGAACTCCTGTCCCTGAAATCCATACGAAAGTGGAAGGTGGCATTTATTTAACATTATAAAGGACAGTTATATTCAATTCTTGAGGTAGCAATTATTAAAATGAAACTTAGCACAACAATGGCATAGTTGCACACATGAAAAATATTTTAAAAAGGTTCCATCACCAATTCAATTCTTAAAAGCACCATGAAAATTGCAATTGGCTAAAACGCTCACCCAGTATTAACCCATATTTTCTGGCAAAGATCAAGTGTAGTAAATAGTAGGGGGCTGACCCCAAGCAAACAATCCTTTTGCCTCAACCTTCTGGATGTCAGGCATTAGAGTTTCAATGTAGCTCAGTGGTAGAGAGTGTGCTTAACTTGCCTGAGAATGTCAGTGTGATACTCAGTACCACAATTAAAACCAACAGCTAGGCAGATGGCTTAGGAGGTAAGGTGTTTGCCCTACAAGTGTGAGGACCCGAGTTCAAATCACCACAATGTATGTAAAAGGCTGGATGTGGAAAAGTATGCCGGTATCTCTGTGATGGTGAGACAGGAAGTGAAGATAGATCCCTGGAAGCTTGAAGGTCAACTTCCCTCGAATAAAAAGAGGAGGAACCTTAAAACACCCAAGATTGTCCTTAATCTCTACAGGTATACTCTGTGCAAAAATAGATTTTTTTTTTCTTTTTAGTTTTGTGAGATAGGGTTTCTTCATGTAGCCCTGGCTATCCTAGAACTAATTCTGTAGACCAAGTTGGCCTAGAACTCAAGAGATCCACTTGCCTCTGCCTCCCAAGTGCAGGGATTAAAGGTGTGCCCCACTATTGCCCAGCAACATGCAAATTTATAATCACTAAAGCAAAACAGCACAAAACTAGTAAGTTCAGTCTGTTAGGTGGTTATGGAACAACAAAATCTGCGAAACCAATAGGATGGACTTTGACTCTTACCTGAAATCCTACCAAAAACAAAACAAAACAAACAAAAAAACCAAAACCTAACAACTCAAATTTATGTACCTGCGAGATGGCTCAAAAGGAGCACAAAGCCAATACACATATGCCTGTACTCATACAGTACACACTAGCAAGCTTTTTAAAAAAATAAAAAGCACGAATTCAAATCGAGTTACCTATCTAAATATGAAACTGAAAAATATTTTTTTAAAGATTTATTTTTTTATTTGTATGAATACACTGCAGCTGTCTTCAGATATATACTAGAAGAGGGCATTGAATCACATTACAGATGGTTGTGAGCCACCATGTGGTTGCTGGGAATTGAACTCAGGGCCTCTGGCAGAGCAGTCAGTGCTCTTAACCACTGAGCCATATCTCCAGCCCCTGAAAAATATTTTTTACAAATAAGCTTTGTACCTATGGTTAAATTTGACACCAAAAATGGAAGTTAGAAAGAAACAAAAGCGTGTGCATATGGGTGCGCATGCGCGCGCGCGCACACACACAAACACACACACACACACAGAGTTCTATAAATACCTCAAAACAAGTAACAACACCGTGTTAACAAGATACCACCATCAATTAGAAGCTTGCCATCAAGCAAGCTGATCGAGTTCAAGTGCCAACACATACAGCGACAGACACAGCCGTGTGGGGTGTTACTGGAGCTAGGGAATTGGCAAGCTCCATGTTCACTGAGAGACCTTGTCTCAAAAATATAAGGTGAAGGTGAGGAAGACACCCACCATTGATTTCTGGCCACCATATGTACAAAAGGACATCATGCATGTGCCCATCTATACCAACAGGGGTAAGGAGGGAGTAACGGAGACTGGGGGAGGGCAAGAGTCTGGATCTATACAAATATTTAAATGCAAAACTTAACAGTTGCCTGCTATATGTTAAACACAAAAGGAGTGTGTATCTATTTTACCTTATTAGAGACGTTATTACGTAAGGTTAGGTAGCAATAGAGCGTAGGAGGAACACAGTACAGAGTCTGAAACTGGGCTTTAACTACTAGCATAAAGCATCATGTACTAGTTCTCCTGTACACTTAGTATTAATAATTTAACTTCTACAGATGTTAAACACTTGAAAGGATGAAATGGGCTAAGAAAGAGGAAACGGTGTGCCAGAGTGTCACTCAACTCAAGGTGCTTCCTTCCAGGTAACAGCAGTTGGAAAAGACAGTGCACTTCAACTTTGTGACAAATCCTGGACGAGAGGCCTGAATGACGGACGGGTGCAGGAGGAAATGAAGAAACAGGAAATCACAGGCTCTCATTCAGGAAAGCACATCACCACAGCCGTGAAGACAAGGATAAAGTGGGACAATACCACATTTGCTCCCTCTTGTGTGTGTGCACCAAGAGCACAGGAGCCTTCCTGTTCAGACAAGGTTCTGTAAGCAGTGGGTTCTGTAGGCACATGGAGGTTAATGTAGGAACTCACGGCTGGCCAGGGTGCAGAGGGTGGAATGTGCAGCCACAAATGGGATGTCTAAATCCCATCCCTCCAAAGGAATGAGGAGGACAGGAGCAAGCAGTGCCTTCTGGCTATGACAGGGCAGCTGCAGTTCTGAGCTCACAGCAGTGGGGCTGCCTGTCTAAATTATATACAAGATCAAACAGGCAACATTCCAGTACAGAATGTGTGTGTATGTAATTGTGTGTCTGTGTGTGTGTGTCCATGCCCCCATCCATGTCTGTGAGTTCTCACCCACCCCTAACTGAGGAGATACAGTGTATGATAGTTTTCTTTAAGGAGGGTGACACCTGGTAGGTCAATTTCACTCTCGTGCATGGCCTCACAGTCATGAGTAGCTTGATAGCACAAATTGGAATCAATGTGTTATTAAAAATATAAACAAAAAACCCAACATGAAGTTGGAGGTGAGTATAGAGGTGGATCTGGGAAGAGTTGGGAGAGAATGGGGGTGCATATGATCAGAATACACTGTAGGCAACAAACTCACTCTGCCCAGCCCCCCAAGAGAAGCAACACAGAAGCAAGCAGTGGAGTGCTACAAGGAAACCAACGGCTGCCCACTTCTGCCCCTCAGTTTCCCATACACAGTAAGAACCTTTTCAAACACAAAGCTCCCATCTCCCCAGAAAATCATGACTTCTTTAAAAATTATGAATTCCAATGCATGACTACCCAGTATGTGTCAGGGGCTGGCTTCAAGCTCTAAAACTGAGTAAAAGTTTCAAATTCTGTAACTCAAGATTTAGCTACTTGAGGACTTTGCAGATAGACAACCCAATAATGTCTTCATATCTGTATTTTCACCAGATCCTAATTTATAGCATCTGTTTTACATTTCATATTTTCTAATAAGTCACACAAACTTCTCTGTAGAAGAGTCGTACATATACAACAAACAGGCCAGGATGCTCGCCATATAAGCACAGAGTACACAGCTGGGCAGTTGTGGTGCAGGCCTTTAAACCCAACACTTGGGAGGCAGAAACAGGTAGGTATATCTGAGGCCAGCCTGGTCTATAAAGCAAGTTCCAGGACAGCCAGGAACATCATGCTTCTGAAAAACAACAAAGACAACAAAAACAAAACAAAAATAAAAAATAAAACAAACAAAAGAGCCGGGCAGTGGTGGCGCGCGCCCCTAATCCCAGCACTTGGGAGACAGAGGCAGGCGGATTTCTGAGTTCAAGGCCAGCCTGGTCTACAGAGTGAGTTCTAGGACAGCCAGGGCTATACAGAGAAACCCTGTCTCGAAAAACCAAACCAAACCAACCAAACAAACAAAGGATATACTATCAAAAGGCTTCACATAGTCTGCCTGCCTTTACTTAATCATTACAAAGTACAAAACATTGTTACCAATAGCTCTACCAATGACTTTCTAAAATTAAAGACCATCATGGGTGTCAACAGTCATGATTTGAGAGCTTCTTCTCTCTCAAAAACCTTTATTTACTACATATGTGTATTGTGTATTTGTCTTTGAGTGTCTGCATATGTGCAACCATGTGCATCATAGTACATGTGTAAGTCAACTTGGGGGAGCTGGTTCTCTCTGTCACTCAGGCTGTTAGGTGTAACAAGAATACCTGCTCCAGCCATCTCACAAAATATCACTGTTTGAGGAACACTGTTAAAAATGCGAGGCTCACCCTAAACTCATTATGGACCTTCGGGCCTGCCCTGAGAGCTGGGGTGGGAGAGGCACAACCATGCTTGCTTTATGCAGCGCCTGTGAAGGCACCCGGGGCTTTCAACACGTCAGACAAGCACTCTAGTAACTGAGAGAACCCACAGCCCAACTTGTTATGCTTCTCTAAAGAGAAGCTATAAGTAGTCCTTGTTAGAGAAATAGCAAGCTCTGCATCCTTCGGGAAGCAGCATCCCAATACATTTGCATAAGAAGTGCTCCCAGAAGCCCTGCAGAAGGAAACCCCATTTCCATTGCTTTCCTAATCACCTCTGCATCACCTCTGCATCCTCAGTAACCGAGAGTGCAGAAACCGAAGGAGAAGCACGGTTTCTAGCCTTGCTGGCAGGAAGCCTGGAGCCAATTTTCATGTCACGATTCCATATTTGAACTTGAAATTCTCATCTGAAATCTACAATCCCAAGGCAATAAACACTTCAGCACTGAACTCAGCACCAGCTCCCCAGATCTGCAACTCCTCTTAGCCCTCCTTTCAGGTGTCGAGGTTTTCCTTCATTACATCGTAATGTTTTAGACTTTTCACTTTTTTGTTTTGTTTTGTATTTTTAGTCAGGGTTTCTGTGTAGCCCTGGCTGTCTGGGAATTTGCTCTGTGGTTCTGTTGTCTGTCCTTAAACTCAAGAGATCTACCTACTACTGCCTTCTGAGTGCTGGATTAAAGGCATGTGCCATCAAGCCTAGCCCATGATTTGGACTTTTAATTGTATGAATATTAACTCTATTTTGTACACTATCAATAATGGAACAAGCTTCTATCATCCAGAGAAAACAACTATCTAACATACATACATAAGTAACTCTTCCAAGAATCTATTTCACCTAAGCAGCAAATTTACCACTGAAAAAGTTAGGTAACTAAAGTTTGCCGAAATTATAAAAAACAACAACAAAAACGCCCCAAAATACAGTTACTACTATGAGTCTAGAGCCAAGTGATAGGCTTTCTGACTTAAAACAAGGGTGCTTTACAAAGCTAGGTTATTATTTGAGAATGAAATCCTATACTCAAAATTAGGAAAGTGGTTTTGTTGCTAGCTAGACCATGAAAAGCAGGCTTGGTGGTACACACCAATAATCCCTGCACTCAGGAGGTACAGGCAGAAGGATCAGACATCAAAGCCACCCGAGTCAAGAAAAGAGTAAGCCGTAAATGTTAGATCTTCTTGTCTTTGGCATTTCAATCAACACTCATGATCTCCTTTCTAAGAAATTTATTATAACAGGGCCCAGGCATTAAGTCAGTAATAGGGCGCTTGCTATGGATCCTTACTGAGGCTGGAGAACTGCATCAGGGTCAGCATCTTTCAGTGCTGATATTTTGAAGGCATAAAGAGGCAGACATCTCATTAGTGAGCCCTCCAATAAGCATTTGTATACAGTTTACAGGTCAGCCCATCTCAGTACTCAACCAAGTACAGGGGGTCAAATATAATCTTGTGCACAGAAGGTAAGCAATGCACCACAAAAAACCCAAACTCCAGCCCCTTTCTGAGCCTTTCTGCATGACACCCACCAGCAACCCCCAAGCTTGTGATAAACGGTCTCAAGCTAACTTTATCACAAGCCTCACTTACAAATGTGTAAATATCCTCAAAACCTTAGTCTTGAAGATCCTAGGATAAAAAAATAAACGCTGCTATAAATGTTTTTGTAACGCACTCACTGCTTTATAAAGCAAAGTTTTGTATGAATAAAGAAAGCAGATTGCCAGATAAACAAAAGTACTGCAGAACTTTAAAACTGAGGATTAGAATTATTCCTTATATAGCCAAGTTTGAATCACAGACAGATACATGAAAGGGACTCCAAAATTTCCAACAATTCTATCTATCATTTTAGAAGATCCAAGACAGACAACTTTTGTTCCATCTTGGGGACCCCATAGAGTAGACCTCCAAGATGGTCCAGCTTTCTCCTGTGCATCATGTGGGGTGTGTGTGTGTGTCCACGCTCATGCACACACTCATACACACATCCCACACACAAGTAAATAAATGTAATTTTAAGGAAATATAGTTTGGCATGGTAGCACTCAGCTGTAATCCCAGCACTTGGGAGGCGGCAGACATCTCATTAATAAGCCCTCCAATAAGCATACTCGGTAGTTTGCAGGGGAGGAGCAGGAGGGTTAATGGTAATGGAGACCAGTAAAAACAGCAAGGAGTATAAAGTAAGACTCTGGAGGGGAAAAAAGGATAAAGAAAGGAAAACTAGGCAAATGAACAAAAAGTACTGACGTTAAGATAAAGCTCCAACTCCCAACACACACTTTCCCTTATCCAGTTGCCACCTCCCAGGAACAGACAGCAACCAAAGTAAGGCAAAGACAAAATGCGTGGACCCTAGGAAAACACTCATTAATTCCACTCTGGATTTGTTTATGGTAAGTATTTAAGGAGCAAAGAATACAAGCCTTGGGAAATGTAAAGCCCAAAAGAAATTATATTTATTATGGAAATAACACAATCACTCCTATTATGAATAATTCAGTTTTGTGATTCATCTCCTCTGTTGTTACCATCTGACATATAAGGAAAAAAGAACTACCTGCTTGCTGTTCACTACTAGAAGGGGGAAGGGGAGAGCTAAGCTCATGTGCAATCTGAAGACAATGCTAGTCACATACAGCAAAATAAACGCACGCTCACACACACACACAAACCTCTTCCAATCTGTCGTAACCTATTTGGTCAGAGATATGACCAGAAGCTGTAGCCTGCCATGCTAACCTTCAACAAGGTAGACAATATTCTTTTGTGAGCTGAGGCACCAGTTATCAAAGGAGTCCTCTGTTTCTGTCCCTTGTTGTCACTTCCTGTGTAACCTTACCTGGGATAGTAGGCTGTATAGTTCATGAAGAGCTGAGTGCCTGCTGGGTAGTACGCTGTGGAGGGCTGCAGCGCCCGTGGGTTCAAGAGCAGAGAAGGCTGATAAATGGCAGCTTCGGTAGGGATCACAGCCGCAGGGGCTGGGAATGTGTAGGAGGGAGGAGACAGGCCTAAGTAAGCAAAAAGAGAGACTCTGAGACATGAATGTAGCAGCTCACATGGCTGTTAGCACTCAAGCTACGGTTACTCTTTCACTTACGTATTTTGCGAAGATGATTTTTGTGTGTATGTTGATATCTGTATGAGTTAATTCACACTAGGTGCATGCAAGAGCCCTTGGGAGCCAGAGGAGGGTGTGATTCCCCTAGTACTGAAGTTACAGGTGTGTGTGAGCTGCCATGCGGGTGCTGGGTACTGAAACCAGGTTCTCTGCAAACGGTAAATGCTAACTGCTGAGCCATCACCCCAAGATTAGCTATATATTTTAAAGGACAAGACTACCACAGTTCCTTACATCCCAAGTAACTTCCTTTGCTTATATGGATGTTTTCTACCCTTTAGTATGATATAAACTCAAAAGAGATTAGGATAAAATGCTCTACCATGCATTATACTAAAGCATGTGTGGTATCAGAGAAACTTCTCTATGGGAAATACGTCATCCTACATACATTATGCTGACCTAAAGAAGATCCAAAAGACAGGCTTTGAAGCTAATCGACACCTCCAGACCTATTTTTAAAAGGCCAACAAGAAAAGAGTCTAGAGGAAAGAGATACATAAATCTTTCCCCAAACCAGCTGATAAAAAGTTGACTTAGCTGGGCATGGTGGTGCATATCTACACTGCCAGTACTCAGTGAAGGAGAGGCAAACATTATCTCAATTACTTCAAGGCCAACTTAGTCTATATAGCAAGATCCAAGCCAGCCACCAGGGCTATATAATGAGACCCTGTCTCAGAAAAACTAAAACAAAACAAACTCCACATATGCAAAAATGTGGCTCAATAAATTAATCCAGGGGCCGAGGGTATAGCTAAGTGGTAGAGCACATGTACAATCTGAGTGAGGCCCTGGGTTCAATCCCCAACACCATGGGAGGAGAAAATTCCTTTATTTTCTAGCTATCCTACATTTGCCCTTATGAGAAGCTCCATTTTCCTGAAGCTGCTGACAGTCACTAGATCTCACAAGTAGCATGAATACACTGGATAGACCATATGCACCGTGCAAGATAGATAACCAAGTTGACAGTCTGGGACCCCTGACTTTAAGCAGCATACTGAGATCCATTAGATTTTGTAGGCAGCAGATAGCCAAGGGGTAACTTTCACATGAAAGACTCCAAGATGATTTCTGCTTGTCTTTCTTCTTAGGAGTTTTTCCATCACTATGAAGAATAAGGTAAGTAGTTATCACCATGGATTTCTGGTTCAACATATAAGTATGTATGTATATATTTGTCTATTACAGCCCAAGGCTTAGTGAATGTTAAGTAAGCATGCTACATTGCACCACATCAACAGCCCTTAAACTTCTGAGACAGTCTCATTATATAGCCCAGGCTGGTTTTAAACTCATAACCCTCTTGCCTCGGCCTCCCAGTGATGAACTCAGATGTGCACAATCACACCCAGCCTGGGTGCTTCATCACCCACCATCGAAAACTCTTGCTAATATTACATAATAATAAACTTTTAGATGATGTTATTTGGCCTTCAAGATCACAACAACGTACATGGAAATGACTGGGCTAGGCATGTGGCTCAGCAGCAGGGCATACAAAGGTTCTGGGTTCAGTCCTCAGCATCACACATATAATCGGAAGCACAACATAAAATTATGTAGCCTATGCTCATGACGTGATTTCAAAATCATCAAGTAGCATGGTCAGGACCCTGAGTTTAATCTCTAACAACACAAAAAAAGAAGAGAGAGAAAAAAAGTACGTATGTACGTATGCATATGTGTGTGTGTGTGTGTGTGTGTGTGTATATATTTTTTTCACATTCTGCTTCAAATCAAAGGAAAGTAAAATAAAAATTGATAAGAGATGAGATTTTTTTTATTCTTCACGGGGAATTATGGCTATTTCTTATTTTCCTAAAAGAGAAATCAGGTGTCTATGGACAGGCCAGAAAAATAAAGCAGACTGTGAAATTAAGTTGACTTTTTTTCCTTGGACTTTCTGAGCTGTGGATGTCCTGAAACTAGCTATGTACACCAGTCTGGCCTTGAACTCTTACCTGCCTGTACCTCTTTGCTGGCATCAAAGGTGTGTACCATCACATCCAGCTAAGCTGACTTCTTGGTGAACTAAGGTGCCATACTATAATACATTACGACTTTACCAGCATTTCTGTTCCCAAATTTATCAAGGAAGTCTTCAGTGGGAAATGTCAGACCCATCAGTATTTAATGCTCTAAGTTTGAGATTAGATTAAAAAGCAGGCACTTTCTTTAAGTCCTGTGGTTATGATAGAATCAGGCAGTCCCCTAAAGGTGACGGCATGAGCAGGCTGAATGCATGCACATGCAGATCGACCTTCTGACTTTTACAGAAATTAACTTTTCTGCCAAAAAGACACATGGCTAAATTGTAGGTTTAAAAAAAAAATCTTCATCTTTTGGAAGTATTAAAAATAACCAAAGATACAGTCATAGATTCTTAAAAATTTGTGTTTGAAGACTAGGTCTTCGAAATCATAATTTTACATACATAAACATGGATTTAAATTTTCTCCTTTGCTAAGTGAGAATCGTGGCTCAAACCTATAGTCCTGGTACTCAGGAAGATGAGGCAGGAGAGTCATTACACTCCAAGGTGAGTATGGACTACATCCTGACCTCCAGGCCAGCTTGGGATACAGTCAAACCCTGTCTTGAAACTTGAAAGAAAACAATATTCTCTTTTCTTAGAGCTTATGAACTACAGGGGAGGAGAAGAAGGGAGTCTGTAGTAAACTACACAGGAAACAATGGGGAGATTCCCGTTTCGTGGCATTTGATGGACAGTCACTAAGGGATAGTATGCTACATGGTACTGACAGTAACAGTGATTTACAGACAGACAACATTCTAGTATTATCCTAAATTACCTTTTTACATTCCATCATAAATTTCTAAAAACCATATACTCATTAACAATAAACAATTAGATATTCACCAACAGCAAGCAGCAGGTAAATGGAATATTAAAGAGTTCAGGAATTCCATGGGAAAAAAAGGATTAAGCCCCACCAAACACTCTACAAAAATAAAACACGTTAATTGATATAGATCCCTCTTTGCTTCAAAATGAAACTCAATTCCTAGAACTGCCCACTTTAATAGAACCAAGCAAATCAACCCATTGAAACTACATTTAAAAAGATTTATATTTTAACGCCAGGTTTCCAAATGATCCTAAGTCATTAACTAGAACTCAGCTTCTAGACTACGGGGCTTATTCCTCTCAGACAGGATTCCAGACGGCTTGCACCCAGTTGCCAATGAGCAAGAGCACAGCTTGGAATTAAGCACTGATCCTGTGATCCAATCAAACATTGGCTGAATCAATTACGCATTTATACACAAATGTAGTCTACTACCTTGCTCATTCCAGATATCCTGGATAGCAACAGGAATGCTCTCCAGGCTACCATTTTCAAGACACAGTTGATGCTCAAAAAAAGTTAAGAATACAAAATGGACATCGAATCATCCTTCTTAGAAGTTTAACATGTAAAAGAACAACGAATAAAAAAAAAAAAAAAGACAGAAAGGAAAGGAGTCGGCCAGATGTTCCATTTTACCTTCAAATGCGTATTAAATTATCTACATAGCCAGGTTGCCTCCCAGAGTCAGTGCTTATCTGGAGCACACTAAGCTTCAGAACCCAAGTGCTTATCACTGGAAAAGCAAGAATGTAATTTGAAAGGAGGTATCTGTAGTATGTCTAATGATGGGTGTCCACAACCAAGGTCTTAAATGATTGTCAGAAACTAGTGATTTCAGATGGGAAAGCCTTATGTAACCACCTCGCCTGCCTCAGAAAGCGACGAAAGCAGCTTAAGCACCTACCAGCACACAGCGTAGAACAGCGCCAAGACCCAAGAAAAACTTACATGGTAACTTACATGGCGGTGGGGATAAGCCATTTCGATTTAAAGTGCCCCCCATTAACACAAAGTTCATCTCCTCAGCTGAACACTGAAAGACTTCAACATATCTGTCCTTCATGGTTTTTTTATGATACTTCTGCGCAGCCATGAATGCTCTGTCTGTAGACTTCATCTGGATAAAGGCATCTCCTGACGGGCGTCCCTGAGTGTTTGAGGGGAGAATACAAACAAAAGGCGACTGTCTCCTCCAACAAGGAAATAAATGGTTGCTTACAAAGCATGCTAAGTGACAATCACCCACAGTGCAAGACATGGTTAGCCACAAGATATGGGTGACAGTTGTGAGCTACTAAAATCTGACTTCGGTTTCCTTCTCTAAGCGCCAGAATGGCCCACAAAATCTTGAAGAAGTAGTTCTGAGAGATCATGATTGAAAAGTGGTCCTTGTTTGGTTTCTGTAAAGTTAGTATCAAATTTACAGGATTTTAAAAGGTCTCCTTGTGACCGTAGTTTTCAAATATAGGATTATATATTGGATTTTTTCCCCCTTCTGAAAAATCCGATTAAATTTGATGAGAAAAGCTAGAAATATATCCTCCTACAGGAACTAAACAAGCCAGCGTTGGCTTTTGGCTCTCGGTATTAGTTCCTCTTTGCCTGTCACATCCCTTTAGATTACCCCTCACCCCTCGCAGCCTAGGTTGGGATGCATCCTGAGGGTAAGCAAATGAGAGCTGCCAGGGACGAGGCTAAGAGGCCACGCTGGGAACCTTGCTTCTTGTGCATCCTCACACCATCTCCTTAGACAGCTCATCTAACTATTCAGAGATAGTTTCATTAGCAAAAATTTCCATCCTGAAAACCAAACCTCTCTGTGCTGCATATAGCTAGAATACCTTTGTAATATTTTTGATATGAATGAGATCAGAGGGGAAAAAACACGAGTTTATAGGACTATTTTAAGTTAGTTCTCCAAGTCTCGTAGGGAATATTTATATTATACCATTTTAGAAATTATTACCATGCAAGTTACCATAATAGTCACCATACCAGGGAAATTAGCAACAAACCCAGTCCAGTCAAGATGGAAACCTAATGTCTTCCAGGCAGATAAGAGCTTGGCCATCATCAAAGAAGCTTTTTTCTCCAGGTCACGGAGGTCAAATCAGAGGCAAAATCTGTCTACTGTTCTTAATCAAAGGGTAATGGTCCCAGGTTATTAGAAAACAGTGACTTGAAAGAAAAAATTCCCCAGTGATGTTGAGCAGTGGGGAATTCTATTTTATTCTATTTCAAAGGACTCTTACCTGGTAAAATGAGCTATGAGCTGTCAGACTAAAAGATGTGTAGCTTACACAAAGTGTTACTCAATAAATGTTGTTGTCAGAGACTTTGCAAGGGCACAGGAGGTTTTGACTCCTTGTGCCCAAAAGCTTGAACCTTCCAGTAAGTAGGAAGATAGTTATAAATGTGAACAAACCAAGTACCAAGTGGAAAATTAGTCAGGAAAAAAAATTAGTATTTCTACTTTAAGTCTGTATTCAATCCATTAATGTTCTGGAGAAAAAAAAAAAAAAAAAAGCCTGTTTTCCAAAATTAAATTCTTTGCTTTTAACAAGAGTCCTGAACTTTTAAACTAGTGCTTCTTGGCCTAATGATATTTTAATTTTTATCTTGCTTAAGACAGCACAAAATATTAGTCAACTGTCCAGCACCTAATAGGATTGATTTTGTTTAACCAAAATTCAAGTAGCATCAAGCTAGTAAATACTTCCTGGCATATGGAAAGAATTCAGTCAGCCTTTGATAGAAAATCTTTTCAATTGTTCCTTGATGCAGCTGAGACTAAGATCCACACACTGCAACAGAGTGCAGTGCCCCAGGCCCTCGGTCTACTTAATGTGAGTGAGTGGCCGACACACGTCATGTGCAATGTCTGCATATAAAGTGCTTTAGGACACAGTAAGCTCTTGGCTTACGTCTGGTCTGTGACCACTGTCTCACCAAAACAGCAGAGCTGAATGGCTGCACAGGAAAAGGCTATTTGCATTCATAATACATTTGGCCCCAATCTGATGGGCTGATAATGAGACAGATTTCTGTGATAAAAGAAGCAGAGCTGAATTTCAATTACCATGCTAACAGCAGGCTAATTTTTGAAGTATATCCTAAAGATTTTTTATACTTACAGCTAAGTCTTTTCATAAAGGCAATATAAAACTTTGGGCTACTGACTAGAAGGGGCACTTGGTCACCAGAACGAGCAAGCACATTTTCCAATAAACAACCCCCTTACCTGGTGATTCAATACCATGTGAACCCCATGTGTACGAATATCTGTGGAAAACTCCCCCAGGAAGTCCAGAATGTCTTCTATCGTGGCAGCATAGGGAAGACCTCGCAGACGTATACAGTCTCTTACATTGGTGGGGGGCACAAACTGCTGAGGTAGTACAGGGATAATGGGAGGTGTTGGAAGTGGAATCAGAGGGGCTGAGGAGAATCGATTCAGCACCTGTATACAAGGCAAAGCACGAGCGACTGAAGAGACCTGCTGCCCCTATGCCATACCACAAACCACTGTGACCAACATCACCAAGAGTCCCACTAAAAACACAGGTTCTAATCTTTCAGGGTGTATCAGCTATAGAGCACAGTTCAGCATGCAGGAAACACTGAGCCAAATCCTCAGAGATAGGGATGGCAGTGGGGTATAACCACAGCCTACCACAGAATTATTACAAAGTATGACTGGTTCTCATGATCCTTTGGGGGAGTCTTAAGTGCAAAGAAGTTTAAGAAGCTCTGATGAGGGGCTGGAGAGACGGCCCAGGGGTTAAGATCACTGTCTGCTCTTCCAGAGGTCCAGAGTTCAATTTCTAGCAAACATGAGGTGGCTAACAGCCATCTGTAATGATATCTGATGCCCTCTTCTGGTGTGTCTGAAGACAGCTACAGTGTACTCACACATATAAAAAAATAAATCTTTAAAAAAAAATGCATTTCCTCTCAGAAAGCATGATATCCACTTCTATCCAATACATGAAGTACACGCCTGTAATCCCAGCCCCCAGGAGGCAGACACAGGAGCACTGTCCATTAGTTTAAGGCTGGTCTGTCTGCTCTATTCGGGGAGTTTTAGGCCAGCCAGGGTTACATAGTAAGACCATAGTAAACACAATAGAATAAATCAAGCCACACACTCCACAGAATACAATATGCTTACTAAGTAGTGTCTATCTGGGTACATATATTTAAGAACTAGGCATACTGCAAGAGTTGGATTTTGGTGGTAACATATTCAATTCCTTTTCACTAGGCATATTCCACATAGTTTTCCCTTCATACTATCTTCACACTCCCAACTCTAAACTTAAAAAAGTGAAGGGAAAGGCCTGAGGTACCACCTAGCCAGTGCTCAACTTTTTAAAATAATTTATTCCTTATGTCTAACTTCTGTTTAGGAAGTATTTAATACATGAAAATATACACAACCTAATAAAAAAAAGTTAACGCAAAGATCCCAAAAGACCCTCTAATACCAACCTGCTGAACTTCAGCTGCTGTGCTTCTGAAGAGTTCGATGTATCTTTTACCCAACAAGTCCTTGTGCTTCCTCAGGGCGTTCTGAGCATATTCCTCACAAGCAAAGAGCACAAAAGCATCTCCTGTTGGCCTACCATCTGGGTAGGTGACGAAGAGGATGCCTTCCTTGCCCCCAGTGATAGGGCAGTGCTGTCCAAAGAAGGCTACCACTTCTTCAGCCGTGGCTGTGAAGGGGAGCCCCCGCATGCGCACGATGACTTGATTTTCCTTGGAGAGAAACTGGGCTACCTCATTGGATGTCCCTAGAGAAAATAAATATTAGAAAACACAGGAAGAAAGAATTAAAGCATCAACATTACCAGGTTTTAAAATGATGAAGTTCCTGGCAGTGTGTGTCTGTGCATGTTGCTGGGACTCAAACACGTGCTCTGCCACTCAGCTATATCTCAGGCCCTTCTAGCAAACCTCTGCATGTACAATTAAGAGCCACACCACTAGTGGATTCATAATAATATCCTAGGACTCAGAAGTATCTTCCTGAAAATTTGAAACTCTTCCCACAGCACTTTTAGCAGCCCTTTTAATTTAGGAAGCTGGCCAGACATCCACAGAGTATCCACCTGTTCTTCATGCTAGTTTAAAGACACACAGGTCCTGGGCAGGGAGGTCGTCAGTGGTACAGATTTGCCTAATATGTGGCTGAGTTCACTGTCCAGCTGTACAACAACTAGAGGCACAAGTCCTAGACCCAGAATGCTTAGGTCTCATCTTCGCTATAGTTCTCACATCTACACTAACTACTTCATAAACTTTGGGAATGAACTAGGTTAATAAAGTACGTTGTTTTGGAGCAGTGGTGGCTCAGGCCTTTAATCCCAGCACTTGGGAGGCAGGGGCCAATGGATGTAAGTTTGAGGCCAGCCCAGTCTACAGAGCAAGTTCCAGGATAGCCAGGACTACACAGAGAAATCCTGTCTGAAAAAGACACAGACAGACAGACAGATAAGGTTCTCAGGATAGCCAGGACTACACAGAGAAATCCTGTCTGAAAAAGACACAGACAGACAGACAGATAAGGTTCTCAAAAAAACCCAACAAACAGGCAGATGAACTGACAAACAGAGTCTTTAACACACACACACACACACACACAAACAGATGGAAAGATGGATAAATACAGTATAGTGTGTTTATAATTACTCCTTTGCTTTTACATTTTTTGTAGAGAATAATAAACTATGTAGGTGCAGTTCCAAAATTTACCAACATCCTTCCCAGACTACAGCATTTATGTAGCACTGCCACAGAACAAGCTCAGGATCGCACGGCTGCAGACTCCACTGACACCATTGGCTCATGACAGTGCTTACCACACTGTGCACACACAGTGAATCCAGCCAACTTGTCCCCAGTGTGCAGTGTTTACTACCATCAAAGCCCAGGATGCAGGGAGACGAGACACCAGCAGCCTCAAATACATCTGCTATCCCCAACCAGGACCAAAATACTGCTGTGGCATTTCAGAAACTGTATGTAAAAAGTAAAGCCTTAACCTCTGAAGCCTCAGGGTTTAGCTAAAGAAAGTAGCAGAAGAGGAATATTCCAGAAAGCTGGAGGAAAAGAATATTTTTGTAGAAAACAAGCCTGACAGTTGAAAAGACTCGCCAGTGCTGTATTCTACAGGACTCTGTATTTAATGAAAGTCCCACTTATATCATCTGGCACCTTGTCAAGAGTCTATTAGAAAGGCTCCAATTCTTAGATTCGGCTCTCCTACATTTCAGAGATCCATCCTGAAGAACAGTACACACAGATAGAGAAAACTTCACAACATACTAAAAATAAGCTAGGAATTCAGTAGTGATAGATAATAGCATACATAATTATACACATAATAAATAATAAATCAATTTAATATGTGGTGTTTAGAATGTATGAAAAATGAAGTTTTAAAACCACATGAACAGAACAGAAGCTTACAAAGTAGATGTCTAAAAAATTACAATAATAATAAAACAACAACTTAGGGCTAGAGAGAGAGTTCACTGCTTAAGAGCACTGGCTACTCTTGTGAGGGACCAAGACTGAATTCTCAGCATCCACACAGTGACTCACAACTGCCTGTAACTCCAGTCCCGGGGAATCTAATGTCCTCTTCTGATCTCCACAGGCACCAGGCACACATGTGGCAAACAGACAGGTATGCAGGCAAAACATTCATAAAAAATTTTTTACTTTTCACAAAGTAAAAATAAAAATATTTTAAAAGATCAGCCAGCATATCCTGGGCTCATTCTTATAAGCACTGAAAGGCTGAGGCAGGAGAATGCCTGGAGTTTAAGGCCAGCTTGGTCTATATAACAAGTTTCAGGCCAGCCTGGATTATGAACTAAAACCAAGCCAAAAATCCAACAAGGACTGATCAATGTCAGGTGTTAAGAGCACCGGTTGCACCCATGGGTACCTCACACCTGTCTGTAATTCCAGTTCCAGGAGATCCAATTCCCTCTGGCCTTCTTAGGCACTAAGCACAGACATGATGCATACACATGCAGGCAAAACACTCATACATGTAAAATTTTAAAATTTTAAATCTTAAAAAAAAAATCAAAGAAACAAAAAGTATTTTGGTCATCTTAGGTGACTCACTTAAAAATTAGATAAAGATGCTGTCTTGGGGGCTAATGTCAATAAAATGTTATATATGTGGACAATGAAAATGTGTTATGAAACATATATTCTAATAAGAAAAACTGGAAACCTAAAGTTTTAAATCTCTTTATCCCTCTATTTGTACTTCTGTGACTACCACACACCTAAAAATGGACTGGGGCTGTCAAGATGGGTCCACGGGCAGCACTTGCCATGCAAACTGGACAGTTTAAGTTCTAGCTTCAAAACCCACAGAAAGGTGAAAGGAGAGAACTGAATCTATGAAATTATCACCCAAAACACAAGACACTACCATGGTCCTGAGCTCTGGTGAGCTCAAAAACTTAGAGAAGATCCAGAAGCAGTCGATTTGTAATGGCCTCAAGTACTACAGGTGGTAATCTCCACAACTCAGAAACATTTCCTTCAAGAACTACCCTTTCCTTTTATATGTGACTGTCTGTGACCCTTTCACCTTTATACAGTCTCATTCTCAGTGGCTATTTAGCCATAGTAGTTGGCTCAGGCCTTAGGGCAAATGTTACAGTACATTAAATTCTCCAGCAGAGTTCAAAGTTTCTTCTCCCTATTTATAGACCAACCCCCCCCCCCCCGAGTTTCAGTAGGAAAGAACCATTTATGGTCACAGGAATCTACTCAGTACGTGTGCAAAACTTCAGGTTATCAATGAATCTGTGCTACATAAAAGGAACTCACCTCCGGCAATTTTAAGAAAATCTTCACCTGTTGCTTTGTAAACCTAAGGGAAAAAAGAGATATTAAAACAGGTTCTAAACCACCCATCGCATGCTAACAGGCACCTGGAGAGGTCAAGTACGTCGGGCTGTGAGCACATACCTCAATGTACCGGGTCCCCATGTGATGTTTGTGCCTCTGTAGGGCTAGATCTCTGTGCTCCTCACTTACAAATCTCACCAGTGCTTCTCCGTTCCTCCGCCCCTGAGCATTCAGACAAAGTGCTGCGCCACCCCTTTGAAAGAAACAAAGCAGATGGCAGGTGGAGGAGACACACAGAGGAGAAAGAACAGAAACCCTGTCCTCCTCTGGAACTGAGCAAAACAAAGAGAAGAAAACCAACTTGGCAATGTTGAGTCCTTTGAAGAACCTTGCGATATCTTGATCCGAAGATTGCCAGGGCAGACCTCGAGCCCGCACCACTGTGTTGTCATCAATAAGTTCCATCTTGCTGCTGTGAATCAAACACAACTTCATGTTGCCTAGTTAATGCACGTTGAGCTGCTTGGCTACACACGAGATCTACTAAGGGTCACACTGACTTGCAATCCCAACTTCCTCTATATCCTTCAAACTTGTCTGGGGACAGCTCACAGAATCAGTTGTGTCACTATTGAACGATGGCTGGCGTGTAGGTCTAATACAGCTAACGCATTCAGGAAACCCGAATAGCTCCTTCCCTGCTGTAAGTTCAAAACCATCTCAGATCAATTTCAGAAAGCAAAATTCTCTCGGTACCCTTACAGCCTGACCTAGAAAGAAGAGTTGTCTAGTTTGGTTTGTCTTGTTTTCACTCCTGTTTGGAGGTGGCATAAACAGCCCAAGGCTGACCCTGAATTTGACAACTTCCTACCCTCACCATCCGACTATGAGTCTGAGGCACCATACTGAGGTCAAGGTGGGTGGAGTGGGACTTCAACTTTTTGAATCCCGCTTGACAGCAAGGATCAGAATAAAGCTACAATTAACCCACACAGGGAATGTGAGCATGTGGTCAGAAGACTATTAAAGTATCTCTCTCATCAAACGGGAGTGCCAGCAAGCACAGGGTGTTTATGGAAACACTTGAGAGTCTCCACGCCTTAGTGAGTCACTTTCAAATCACCCATTATACGTTTTGACACCTTTTGATGTTTTGTCTTCTCTTGTTCATATTTTCAGTAATCTTAGGACATTTTCCTACTGAGTCACTCTCTCTGCAACAAAATCAGTGCTAAAGACTCTCCACTGGCAAAGCTGTCCACGTTTCAGTTCATCACCAGGTGCCAGACAATCTTACAAAAATTCATGACAGTGATTAACAACCAAGTCCACCTACGATCAAAGACAACACTTCAGACTCCTCCCTAGATGTCCCTGGTGATGAAGTAGATACTGATAGTGTGTGTGTGTGTGTGTATGTGTATGTGTATGTGTATGTGTATGTGTATGTGTATGTGTATGTGTATATATATATATATATATATATATATATATATTATCCCATGAACATCAAGAACTTCCTTAAAGAGCCATTTATGTTATCTATGTGTATGTACATACACCTACATGAATGTATGTGCGTCATGTGAATAGGCTGGACAGCACTCAAGCCTTTGGATCTGGAGTTACAGGCAGTTTGAACTGCCTGATGTGGGAACAAACCCTGTGCTTGGGCAGTAAGCACCCTTAATAAATCACTCTTCCATTGCCTGCAGAAATCTCAAGACTTTCCCTTTAGAGAGGGGAGACAGACATGAAGACTAAAGTAAGAATCACAAACTAAACAGAGTTGTCCCTAAGTCATTGAGTAATTAAAGATGTTCAGCACTTCACTAAATTTTAATCTCGCCTACAAGCTTGCTTTAAGTAACAGATGCCTTAACAATAAGAAGTGGTAAACATGTTTAATAAAGTTAGGAAAATCTAAGGGGACTTAAATGTCCCAAGTAAGAACAAATCCAAGGCTCAAATGAATAGCGCTCAGCCACTCACCAAGTGCCGCTTTCAAATTTGTAGTTTACTCTCTCTGGATCTGAAAACCTGTGATCTAAAAATGAGAGTACAGTCATCATCTGGCTACTGGACAGCAAGGCTGGGCAACGCAATCAAGGCCACGAGCGAAGGATCAAATCCCACTAGTACACGATCACCACAGAGATACTCACTGTAGGGCTCGGAGATCATTGCTAAAATTATGTTCCCCATGTCTTCAACCTGGGAGGCTCCATATCGGGACATGGAGTCATTCTTCTCAAAGTTTAGGCCTGTGGGGCTAAGTTAAGGAAAACTCTTGGACAGGTTACTCTGCTAGGCAGAATTTAAACTTAAAGGTGGGCTTTATCAATCATAGCATGGCTGTTTCTCGGCAGCCAGGACTGTACCCAGAATCCTGTTGCCTTCCTGTCTGCCCTCTTGCAGCAAGCGTTCAAGTCAACCCTATCCTGGGGCATTACCAATAAGAAAACTTTGGTTTACTTAGGAAATAGCAAATGTATAAAAGCTGTGTACACTTAGTGTCAAACCAAAGCAAACAACTAATTAGAGCCCTTTACCACTCATTATACATACAAGGCAATGGCCAGATAACTAAAGAGATGGTTGTCCATCAAGACCAGGAGGTGTACCACTTGTAATTCAGACCACATAACACCAATGACATCATTTCCATGCTTGTCTTTAGAACTTCCCTTCCAGAACAGTTTTACAGCCCTATGGGATAGCATATATTCAACAGTAATACATACAAATCCAAGTGCTCTCACAGCAACTTTTAGAAATAATTCAAGCACTTAGAACCAATGATGTCATGTGTATTCTGACATGGTGACCTTACTGTGTTGCTCAGACGGTGTGGAACCACCCCCACCCCCCACCACTGCAGGTTCTGAGAACACAGGTACACACCATGACCAACTCTAGTGCTCCCTGACCATGACCATGTCAGTATTCTTTCTGGGTAAAACACATTTTTTATTATGTGTAAATCACAACCATTTTTTTTGAGATACTGAAGTCTTTTTAAAATTTGTATTATATTGCATTTGTGTGTGGCCTTTAGCTCTAAAAACTGGTATTCAGTGTGTGGGAGTGTTTGTCTCACAGCCCGTGTGTGGCAATGAGGACAGCTTTCAGGAGGTGATTCTCCTTGTCTACCATGTGGCTTCTGGAGACTGGACTTGGGTCATGAGACCTAGCAGCAGTCTTACCTGCTGAGCCAGCTCACTGGTCCAGAATACATTTTTAACAGCACAACAGGAATCAAAGATAATATTGTGAGAACGCTCCTTTTCTCTAGAGTTTGGAATAAAGGCACTCCTGTGTTAGACTTAGTAGAATGCTTGCTGTATAGCAAGCATACTGTTCCCTAGCTGATATATTTTTAAAAATTTATTTTATTTATCTGAGTACACGGTAGCTGTCTTCAGACACACCAGAAGAGGGCATCAGATCCCCTAACAGATGGTTGTGAGCCACCACGTGGTTCTTGGGAATTTAACTTAAGACTTCTGGAAGAGCAGACAATGCTCTTAATTGCTGAGCCATCTCTCCATCTCTCTGATATTTTTAAAAGTATTTTTACAAAAGATGATAAGATCCCTTATGGACTATTTAGGAAGAAGAACACATAACTCAACAATCAAGAGTCTAGTCAGAGTCAATACCACCAACTTTTCTTTTTCGTTTCTTTAAAGTCATTTCTCAACCCACAGCCTCCTCACCCCCACCTCCCATTCCCGTTTGCTCAGGAGGGACAGTTCACAGGAAATGACTTCTCCTCACTAAACTTCTGCTTACCTACAGGGCCAAAGCTATGACAGATAACCTCATGCTCTGGCTCTGTGTGAAGACCGAGATAAAACCCACGACACAAAGCAGACATTTAATAACAGCAGGCTTCACTCCTTCAGACACTCTAGTGCCTACTCTAACCCACAATGACCTGGACTGTCACGGACAACCATCTATCTCAAATGGTAGCTCAAGTCCACACTCTCACCCCTGCCTTTCCACCGTCCAGTGAGAAAATAAACGTGGAGGGATTAGAGGGTTGGCTCCAGGAGATACGAAAGCAGGACGATGTAAACCTACATCATACATACATCATACATGAGGTGGAAGGCTATTATCATCTCCAGGAGCCACCACTATGCATTTATGAATCCGACATGGAGAAGGACAGCTGTCCTATGACTTTGGAGGAGTCAGGAAAGGCTACTGGGATCTTTGAAGAATCAAAGAATGGGAAGCAGCCCACTGCACAGGTCTGGTGTCTCAGGCTCTGCACCTGCTCCACTCGTAGGCCACCTAGTTCATTAAGAGGGCAGTGGTGACGAGGCTTCTGTGTAGTGTGTACTGTGTGACTTTCAGCAGCATGTTGTCCTCTACCCTCCAGTTATAAAGTCTAAAAAAAATAAGGAGCACTGGGGCTGCCTAATAGATCCAACAGCACCAATGTCATCCAAGCACCATCCTTAGACAGCTTGGAGACAGCTGGCCAAGTTAAAACTGCATAAGGACCAGCATGACAGTAGGTCAAAATGGGAGACATAACACTCCATGAGCTGACATGACACGTGTGTACTCTTGAAAACCTGGAGAAAATTGCCTGTTCCCAACAAAGTTGGCATTGTCTCCTTGAAGGATTTATACAATTAGGACAAGGAATGGGTTTTCGAACATCTGGTCACTGGTGGACTTCTGATTACAGAGACAGACACAGCAAATGTCAACCACATCCTAGCTTTCTATCCCAAGAGAGATGACCGAGGAATGGGAGATGACCAAGGAGGTTTGGAGAAACAGGTAGTATAAAAGGATATTCTGTTCAAATTAAACATCTTTCTTGACCACAATAAACCACTCATCCTAATTTCTTCACCAATTTAGCCCAGAGTGACCAGCACCCGGCACCAAAGCCTTCCCTACCTGTTCCAGGCCACAGTCAGCAATTCTGTAAGCTACATCCTAGGAAACTGCTCTTCACAATTGTATCACAGTTCCTGAGCGTGGAGTGCACCATCCTTTGATCTAGTTCACTTATCCTCAAATTTTAGTTCTGTGGAACTACCCTAGCAAGTCTCCAGGAAAAGGAAGATGAAGCCAACAGCGTGTCCTCAGAGTTCTCAGGCCTACAGGGAGCTGCTTGCAATAGGGACAGTAAATCCAGGGTGCTGAAGACAAAGGGTGTACAGCTGCTTCCCCAAGGTCTGCTGGGGATACTGCTGTGCAGAGCTGCAGGCTGTCAGAGGCTGGGGGCTGTCCTCCCCGAGAGGCCATGAAGAGCCAGCCCCACACCCACCCACTTTAATCTTGTACACAAAGGCCCTTGACAAGAGATTGATCTACAGTTTTCCATTCATGCACAGGTTTGACATTTGTTAATTTAAGACAAGTCTCACTGTGTAGTTCTGCCTGGTCTGGAACTTGCTTATAGATCACACTAGCCTTGAACTCTCAATTCCTCTGCCTCCTGAGTGTTGGGATTAAAGATATAAATGAACCATATCCAGGTAGGTTTGGTCCTATCTCCCTCCCTCCCTCTTTCTCCCCTACACTCTCTCTCCCCTTTGTGTGTGTCTGTGTGTTTGACACAGGGTTTTCCTGTGTAGACTGGCTGCCCTGGAACTAGCTCTGCAGATCAGGCTGGCCTTAAACTCAGAGATCCTCCTGCCTCTGCTACCCGAGTGCTGGGATAAAAATTGTACCCCACCAGGACTCAGTGGTTTGATATTTTCTAATCCTACTTCTAATGATTTTAGTCTTCCTTTTTACTTTGGTTCCCAGTTCCAACAGGGAGGCTCTACTAACTTTATGTCATGAATAAGCAAATCAAATATATACATATAAATAATTCTCTAGAAGCCAGTGAACTTGAGGTCAGACTAGTCTACATGGTAAGTTCCAAGACAGCTAGACTACATAAATACCTTGCTCAAAAAAAAAATTATCTAGATATGTATCAGATAATAGAACTATTTAAAAGATTCCCATCAAAATATACATGCACATACATATATGCATGTATTTGTGTGTATACACAGGCATATGTTTTACTTTGAGCAGTATTTTGAGAAAAATATTAAATTTATAGGCATAGGTCAAGGAGAGAGAGATCAAAAGTAAAAGCGCAAAGTCTCCTTTTTATGATGAAACAGATTTGCAGCTAAAGAATCACTTTACTAAATTCTCACTTTTAATTAAGAATGTGTCACCGGCCTGCCTTATATGGTTCTATATAATACATGTCACTGTATTTCCCATGGTGGCATCATAGAGACCAGCAGCTCAACTTTTACAAGTCACTGGACCTGCTACATGCCCAAATCCCGTCTTTACACATGTGTACACACACACACACACACACACACACACACACACACACACACACACTCCCCTCTTAGGTATGCTCAATCTGTTTCCTTAGCAGAACTAAACACAAATAATAAAGGGAAGGTGTTCCTTTCTTGTTTCTTGCGCATGTTAGGAGTACACTACTGAAGAGTTCCGTCCCCAGCCCCAGGGGTTTTCCTCATGCCTCAGCACCAATACTTTCTTGTATCAAGGACTATTACATTTTGGATTACTTGCTGCCACATCTGGTGTGGACGGAGAGAAGGTTCGAGGAGGCTATGCCTCCTGGTTTACTGCAAGGCTGGTCCTGTAACTTACTCAACTGTGCCCTCAGGCAGCCACAACAGCACAGACAGGTTCAGCCAGTTTTACAAACCAGAAACGCCAGGAGGGAATAAAGAAGAATACATACAGCCTAGCACGGTGGGAACAAAAACCCACATTTCAGGCTATACTGAACAAAGTATCTGTCCATAAAGAGGGTGGGACAGGTAGATGAGGCCATTTCAACGACAGGAACCCTTCTTTTATTGCCACCTTTGGTGAACTAGGCTGAGGGCTTAGCCCCATAAAGCTCATCTCTACTAACTTACGGGCTACACTGACAACTTCTTTCCTGACTGCCAGAAAACGGACACACTTCCAATGCATTTACTTTCCACATGTAAGCAACTCCTTTCTGAAGCTATGGCTTTAGTTTCTATCTAAGACAATCACACATAAAACATCAAAGCCCTGCTCAAGACTCATCAGAAGACAGTCTTATTACCTCCCTATTGTATTTACAATGTAACACAAGTATTCCGTTGCCAGACATTAACACACCAGTGGTACTGAAAAAGGAGTAGCCAACAGCTAGCACACAGCAGTAGTACACCAAGAACCAACATTCCCACAAGTATAGGGAGAATGG